GGCAAACGGCGAATGGCGGGTGGCTTGGATGGTGGCGGTGCTGGTCGTGGGTGATGGTGATGATGGCGATGGTATAGGGGTGATGATCGCTGATCGTGGATGAGCAAGGGAGAGGGAGAAAGAGAATGGTGTTGGTGGTGGTGTGGTGATCACGGCCATGAGTGGCGATGCTCACGGCGGTCAAACGGCGTTGACTGGAAGGCAGCAACTTCGGGGGGTTTAGTGGTGTCGTGATGATGGTGGTGACGGTGATGGATGAGGGGAAGGGAAAAGGAGGTGGTGGCGGGTGAGTAGCGACCGCGGCTGAGGACAGCGGCGAACACGGCGGCTGGAGTGGCAGTCGGCAAGGGCTAGTTGGGCTGGTGGTGGTGAGTTCGGCCAAAGTGTGGGGGAGAGAGGTGGAGTGAGAGGAAGACTTGATCAAATGAAGAGAGAGAGAGAGATGTCTACTAAACCCCACTCAAAACCCCACTAACAACCCCACTAGGAACCAAGGGTCAAGATTCAATCTTGAAGAACAAGCCAAGATCTAAGGGTCCAAAATCACTCTACCTAGTGGCAAACTAGTAAATAAGCAAAGAGGAGAGGGGCAAGGGGGTCCATCAATTTCGGCCAAGAGGGGGAGTCCAACATGCCTAATTTGCCCTTCAATACTTCAAAGGAACCTAAAATATCTTAGGGGTAAAATGGTAATTTCCAAGTTCCAGTCCGAATTTCACTCTTCCGATAATTTCCGAGCGGTCCGACGATTAGCCAACCCAAATGAGGCGACGTCCAACAACTCAGTCATGGAACCCTTGAAAGTTTGATACCCAAGTTCGAATTCTAATTCATTGCCAAAATCGATTAATTGCAACTTTAGTGTATCTCAAACTAACGGGCGGCTTTTAGAAGTTACGCATGTTCGACCCGTGGCCAACTCGATATCGAGCCACGTTTAAGCTTACTCAAGTCATGGCGACCTTGGTTGTTATGTAATTGCATGGGTCAATCACTAGTTCCGAATGATACGATCGTTCCGAATAGGTTTAGGGTGGTTCGCAATCCATACAATGGTCAAGCGGAATCACCCTAGATCCAATTGTATACCATTGGCAAATCATTCCATAACCATCCTTGGATCGGTCTATAATGGCCCAAAATTGTCCCCCGTCAATCCTTATGGTCGAATGGTCAATCCATGGCCGAGTTCTTAAGTCGCACATACTTAATTCCTAACTGGCATTTCCTTAACAGTTAGTCCTTTCATAAGAGATCAATTCAAAGTGAGATTTAACTGAAAGTGTATCGATAAGATATTCACTTCAGAAATCCCGAAAAGGGTCGAAATTCAGAATGTCAGAGGATCAATTAGCAGCAATAGTATCTTCAACACTCTCCCTTGAGCTGGTGGTCTATATACATCAAGAACGCCTAGTTTCCCAATAGATAAGAATGTTGCTTCTGACATAAGGCCTTAGTGAAGATGTTTGCAAGCTGTTCTATTTTTCTTATTCCCCTCATTTTGATCACTCCATCTGAATCTTTTCTCTGATGAACTGACAATCAACCTCTATATGCTTCGTCCTTTCATGGAAAACTAGGTTCATGGCGAACTTGAATGCGGCGTCGTTGTCGCAGTAATGAGTCTCCCAATTTCACACAGAATCCTATAACGGATTTTCTACTCATAGGGCAAGTAGCATAATATGTGTCACAGTATGTTGTCATCTCCATATTGTTCTCCCAAGATAATAGTATCTCCAATCCCGAACATCCTTTCAAGTACTTTACGACCTTCAATGTTGCATTCATGTGAGATTGTTTTGGAGCATGAATGAATTGGTTAAGAATTTGCACGACATAGCATATGTTGGGCCTAGTCATAGTCATATAAATAAGTTTCCCAACAAGTCCTTGATAAGTAGAAGGGTCTTTAAGCAAAAAATCCTTGTTCATGGGTGACAACCCTTGGTCATATTCAGTTGTTGTCAACTTGACATTCTGTTCAATTGGGATAATAACTGGCTTAGACCCTGATAGTCCTGCTTCCGATATGATTTCCAATACAAATTTGCATTGGCTAAGACAAATTCCTTTATCTGACCACGCAACTTCTATCCCAAGAAAGTATTTGGGAGGTCCCAAATTTTTAATGTGAAAAAGTAGAATGCAAGTACTTTTTAAACTTCTCAATGGCTGACGCATCATTTCCCATAATGAGTATATCATCAACATATATAAGTAAGTAGATTGATGATGTACTTTGTCCCCATATAAATAAAGCATAATTGTGTCTAGATTGCTGGAATTTTGCAGCTATAAGTGCTGTAGTGAATTTAGCATACTATTGACGAGAAGCTTGTTTGAGCCCATATAGGGACTTTCGAAGATGACATACACGATTCTCCCCTTGTCTACGAAGTCCCGGTGGAAGTTCCATGTAAATTTTCTCTTCCAAATCTCTATGAATAAATGCATTGTGTACATCCATTTGATGAAGGGGCTAATCACGAAAAGCAGCAATAGAGAGAAAAGACCGTACAGTGACTTCTTTCGCTACCAGTGAGAAAGTTTCTATGTAGGCAAAACCTTCTCGTTGTGTGAACCCCTTTTCTACTAGTCTGGCTTTATACCTTTCAATCGAACCATCTGCGTTGTATTTGATCTTATATACCCATTTGCAGCCGATGAGTTTTCTATCAGGAGGTAGTGAAACAAAATCCCAAGTTTTGTTCGCCATCAGGGCTCCTAATTCATCTTTCATTACTTGTTGCCAACGAGGATCCTTTGAGGCCTCATCACATGAGGCAGGTTCCCGTCCCTCAGAAATTTTACTCATGCAGCACATGTGTTTGGATGATAGACGAGTGAAGCCAACATAAGAAGAGACAGGATAGTGTGTACCAGATGATTCCAAGGTGGGACAAATGTAATCTTCCGTCCATGTGGATGATCGTTTTGTACGACCTAACCATTGAGGAGGAGTTGGCGCAGAAGAGCTATTAATTGGTGAGGTCGAAGTCGGACGATCTTCTGATATAGCCTCTGGTGGATCATCAAGGGCTACAATCTGAACATCTAAATAAGATTGTAGATTTTCAGCAGGTGCATTAGATGCCATGGGTGGCGCATTGTGAGGAAGCAAGACTCATTGTGGATGTGGAATATCTTCTCCACTTAAAAAGGAATGGTGATTAGTGGCCGGATGTGAAGATAACTCATCTAGAAGGGAAAAATATCCTCATGAAAAATAATGTCTTCGCTGACAAAGAATCGCTCGGTGGATTGATCATAAACTAAATATCCTTTTTGTAGAGCAGGATATCCCATAAATATGCATTTAAGAGCTCGGGGACCCAATTTGTCCCTAGGGCCAACAGTGGAAAAGTAGCACAAGCATCCAGAAACATGGAGATGGCGAATATCTAGATGTTTCCCAAATAGTAATTCGAAAAGAGTCTTTCCATTGCGAATCTGAGATGGCATCTGATTGATCAAGTATGCTACCGTGACCACACAGTCTCCCCAGAAGATTTATGGAATTAAAGCTTGATATTTGAGGGCACAAGCAACCTCCAGAAGATAACGATGTTTTCGCTCAACGACTCCATTTTGTTGAGGTGTATAGATACAGGAACTTTAATGAAGAATGCCATTTGAAATATATAGGGAAGAACACTCATGATTAAAAAATTCACAGGCATTATCGGTTCGAATTCGTTGCACAGATTTGTGGAACATATTTTTAATCAATGTAAGAAAGTTTCGAACATGGGAAAGAACTTGAGCCTTGGATTGCATCAGAAAAAACCCAAGTCGCACATGTATGATCATCTACTATTGTGAGAAAAAAGCGTGACCCATCACAATGTGGTGTATGATATGGTCCCCAGATGTCCATGTGTACAAGAGAAAAAGCTGTATCAGTACGTGAGGTGCTTTGCGAAAACGATAATCGCGTTTGTTTAGCTAATGGACATATAGGATATTTTGGATGAGGAAAAGAAGCACTATGGTCTAAATGCTGATGAGACAGGAAAATATTATTATTGATGTTAGCATTACAAAAAATGCCCTTATTCAAGAGAAGAGATGAAATATCAAGATTTTTGGGAAGTGTGGTCCAAAAATAGAGTCCCTCGCGAATTTTACCCAAGCCTATCAGTTTCCCAATCAAAAGAGCTTGAAAGGAGCACATGTTAGAATCGAAGAATACCCGACAGAAATTATCTTCACAAAGTTTGGAGACAGAAATGAGATTAAATTGAAAATTGGGGATTAGCAAGACATTTTTCAATATGATAGATGGACTGAGTGAGACATTCCCAATTTTTGTGACGGAGGTGTCATTGCCATTTGGAACACGTACTGAAGTACGAGGGAATGAATCATGAATTTCATAAAAGAATCGTTCATCGCAAACTGTGGTCACTAGCACCTGAATCAATAATCTATGCTTTAGTTGAAATGGAGCTCAAGCAATGAGAGATACCTGTATAACTAGCCACCTTATCTTGCATTCCCAATTGGTTGAGAACCCTTATGATTTATTGGAATTGGCCACTATTGATGGGTTGATGAGCCTTGGCATGTGCTACGACAGAGATATCTTGTTCTTTTCTTTCCTAATCTGCCGGTTTTCTATGCAATTTCCAACAATTTTCCCGAGTATGGTAGGGACGTTTGCAATAATCACAATATTTACCTTTCCCTTTGTTGGATTTTTTAGCATGTTACTTACTTGAAGCAAAATTGTGGCTATTGGATCCCCTCCATGCCGGTGTAGTGGACGCGTGTTATGGACCATCCGATATGGGCGCTGCAAGGATGAGCCCTGAGTCGTCTTATCATGAATGCATCACAGCCGTCTGATCGCGAGAATGCATCACGGCCGTATGATCCCATGATTAAATCCCAGCCATTCGCTCAAGTTGAAGCCCGCGTGAATCCTGGGCCATTTGATCGTCCGAATAAATCAGAACCATCCATTCCAAAAGATACGAGGGCTTCGTTTCTTTGCCCGATAACCCTAATGCCGTGAGCGAGTGTCTGGTTCTGCCATGGTCGGACCTTGTCGCGAGCAATTTTTGTTCGAGCGTCGCCTTGGCCGCAAGAATAACTCGATCCCCAACCTTCATGTACTCTGAGGAAGCCAGGCGTTGCGATTCCTCCTGAACCACAAGTTGGTAGATCCGCCGAGCAAGGGGACCGGCTCCATGGCAAGGATTTGGCTGTGGAAAGGTATGTAACTTTCATTCAAGATGAGTAGGAACCGAGTTACCTTTTCCTTCTCCTTTATCGCGTGATATTGTGCTAGGGTTAAGTCGACTCCCTCCAAGTTTTCTTTGGCTACCTTAAGTTCATTCCATAGTGCCGACAGTTTGTTGAGCACTATAGAAATTGAAAGATTTCCTTGTTTTAGTTTAGATAGGGCCTGCATCATACTGAAAATCTTCGTCCGATCAAGTTTTCCATACATTTCTCGTGAATTATACCAAAAAATCTTCGTGTCTTCGACCGGGGGTAATCCGGCCGCGACCTCCATGGTGAGACAATTTCCGATCTACATCCGAACGAGTTGATTACACTTCCTCCAGTGGCATTCGAATCGCTCGTTGGACGGGATTGGAATTATGCCGTCAATGAAACCCTCCTTATCCTTTGTTATTAGTGCTCGCCGGAGCTCTCGTGACCAAACTGAGTAATTTTCCGGCCCCAAGAGTTGTTGTGTGATGAGACGAAGCTCAGGTTCGTCGACGACGAACGTGTACAGTAGATCTCCCAGCGCGGGTCTACCGCCGGTGATTCCTGTGAAAGGAAAATACCCGGGTCCGTAGGCAAGGTATGTGTTCACCTCGAAATTGGGTGGACCCGAACCGCCTTGGTTCGAAAAAGTCCAACCATATCCAAATCCCGAGTTGGGCTCAGCATTAAGCGATGGGCCTCCTCCTAGCCCATTATTCTCAGTAGAGGCTGAAATCATTTGATTTGGCTGGCCTGGAATAACTTGGACCGAGAACCATTGGACATATGGGCCCGGATAGAAATGCCCTGAATTGGGCTGAACAGGGCCCTATTGCTCCTCATCGGTCCGTGTCTGCCTTTGTTCCTCCGTCTGGTTTTCTCCTTCAAAAATTGTTTGTTGATTCAAAGATGAATCTTCCATTCTCTCTATTGACTGAAGTTTCTCCACAGGTTTTGCATTGGTGGTGTTGCTGAACAAGGAAGATGAAAAAAAAGATGAAAAGAAGGTGTTTTAGCATAAGCTAGATGAATGTGGAAGGCTCTGATACCATGTCAGAGAATTAGGTGATGGAAAGCTACCCAGGAATGGGGAAAAATTGTATTGCTTTTCATACTTCTATCATGTAATTATAGTCCTATTTATAGTACATGAGGTCTAGATGATTAGGGAAGGGAATATGCAAAATAAAGGAAAAAGATGATTCCCTAATACAATATTCTAATTTTTCAACAATACAACAGTCGAGATCAATTAAGATCAATAAATGCAGACGGTATCTTTGACAGGATCAATTAGCAGCAATAGTATCTTCACCAGAGACTATGAGAATCGAGAGAGAAACAAGGAAAGAGAGAGGCGTGAGAGCACTAAGGGGCAAGACGCGAGAGGGAAAGAGGAGGCAGAGAATGGATTAGGGTTTTATTTGGTAAAGTGTTTTTTAAGAAATTAAAAAAGTTAAAAAATAAATAAATCGGTTTGGTCCGGGCGGTTCTATCCCTCTTGGAATCGAGAATAGGACCAAAAATCACCGGTTCCATAAAAATAGAATCGAGAATCGGACCGCTTGGGACGCCCCAAGCACGCCAATTGCTAGAGCAGTTCTTTAATCTTCTTTAGTGTTATTATACAAGAAGAAGCTAACATTTAGGTTAGCACCTATAACATGGATTAGGCCCAAACAACATAATCAATATGACTGAACGGGGATATCATTCTTCCATATCTTTTCATTATTTACATACACGGGCAATACATCCAAAAGACTAACACAAGGAGAACCAAAAAAATATAAGCTCCGCTTCACTACCAAGTGACCCTATACATATGTCACCACTACCATCAACGTCCATCGTTGCAATCTAAACAAAAAAAATGACAACTGTGGAATTCCAAAATGGCTCCCCATCTAGCATACGCTACCACCACCCATCTAAAGATCGCTAAGTTTCTCCGGATCACTGTACTCGCTCGGACCACTACTCTCGCTACCACCATCATTGATATCGTCCATGAATCGTAGGGGACCCAACAGTTCACCACCTCGGTTGACATACCCCGCCACAAAACGGTACGACACCATCGGTGCATGTCCAACATCAACCCACAACACCAAGACCTGTCGAGTGTATAGTAGGTTCGCCCTGGAATTGTAACATCATCCCAAGTACACTCAAAATAAAAAGGGGATCCGTAACGAGCCAACAGAGGAATGTTCATCCTAGCTATATGAAAAATGTAAGACAACAGGAGTGAGCAATAGCTCAACAAGAGATAAAGCAAGTTCATAAACCGACCTATCTAACGTACTATCGATTCCTAGAATACACCTACATAAAATGCATCTTAGGTAAACAAATATGATCGATATCACATTCGAAAACCATATGTATCAAACGAGCATGTATCACATGTACCACACGCATCATATCGCATTATTGTCATGTCATTGGGTCCACCCCCATCTCACGATTCAACCGGGGACAAGCCGGCCCGTGCGAGTCACTTCCGGTTTGCTATCCGAACTTCCATGGCATGCAGACCACAGGCATCCCACACTCTGGGGCATCTTGGTTTTTAGCCAAGGCATTCTCCTCCCAATAACCAACCATCCACTGTCGGGGTTTCACTTCGGTTTGCTAACCGGACTTTCGCAACACGTAGACAGTAGGCATCCCACACTCCGAGCATCTTGATTTTTAGCCAAGGCATTCTCCTCCCGATAACCAAACATCCAACATCAGGGCATCTACGATTCACTGGCCGTAGGCTTCACATCACAGTCTCATGTGTCTCATGCATACCATGCACATGACATGACATGCAAACACAATTATCCACGTGCACATGACACCATGCCACTATAATGTGATACCCTTCTAATTCATGGCAACTTTCACACCATATTCCATAGTCTGTCGTCACATAAATGATCTCATGTGCCTCATCATTTGACATCACATCAAGGTCAATCATATCTCATTGGAAAGCTTAGAGTGTGTAGGTTTTATCTCCAGAAGACATCAAGCCACGATTCAAACATTTTCATGTGAAAAATAGTGCATCTTTGAAATTGGGTAAATCTGGGCAGTTTTGCACAGTAACAAAAATCTCTTCAAAATAAATAGTAAATGAACTCCAAAAATTCTAAATTTTGGCAATGTCACAGAACACAGCTTGGTAAACATTTCTTATGAGAGCACAAAACCCAGTTCAATCTGTAATCATGTTTTTTTTGTCACTCAAAGTCAAACCCGAAATCAGCTCATCAAAACAGGCTGCTCGATCCTCGAAATATATCTCTTTTAGCACCCAAATCACCTTCAAAAGCCTCGAAATTTTTATATGTCATAGACAGAAAAGTTCTTAACAACTTTTATGAAAGAATTTTGTTGAAAATAGATCTGAAAAAATTAATAAAAATATCGAAAAAGACGTGAAGATCACAAAAACTATATTTCTGGGCAGTTTAAACACGGTTGAAAATGAGCTTTCGTACAATCCAAATTTGCTCCAAAAATTCCAGATTTAAAATATGTTAAACATCAAGATGTGGTGAACAACTTTTGTGGAGAACATAACCCCAAATTCGACCCACAAAGACATGTACAAAAATAACAAACAAAAGAGATATTGTAGTTCTGAGTTTTGGGTTTCAAAACAAACTGTGAAAACTCGTAATTTTCTTGTATTGCTCAACGGACAATACAAATATTTATACAACATATTGCTTAACAGAAAAGAGAAAGAAAAGATCTACCAAATATCTCTAACTAATTATAAAAGATATACTAAATATTATGCTAACTAAAAGCAAAAGTAAATCCTAACTAATAATAAGAGATACACTAAATATTAAAAAAACAGAATGTAAATCTTAAGCAAATCTTCCGTAATACTCCCCCTCAAGTTGGCGCATGGAGGTCACGAATGCCCAACTTGCTAATGAGAAATGCAAATTGATCTCGGCCCAATGCCTCGGTAATTATATCTGCCAGTTGAAGTCTGGTGGGTACATGCATAGTTGTAATGGCGCTCGATCGTACATGTTCATGAACAAAGTGGCAATCAATCTCGATGTGCTTTGTTCGTTCGTGAAATACCGGGTTTGCCGCAATATGTAAGGCAACTTGGTTGTCACAATAAAGACCCATTGGTTTGTCGTACAATACCTCGAGAGAGGCAAGTAAAGTGCGCAACCAAATCAGTTCACTAGTGGCAATTGCCATAGCACGATATTCATCTTCAGCAGAAGACCGAGAAACTGTGGTTTGCTTCTTGGTTCTCCAAGACACGAGACAATCACCAAGCAGGACAAAGTAACCAGTATCGTCGAGTGATCGGGCAACTTGCCCAATCGGAGTCACAAAAGGCAGTCAAGTGAAGTGAAGTTAGGATGGATAGTAGAATCCCTTGTCTTGGGTTTTTCTTGAGATATCGAAGAACTCGTATCGTTGCTTCCCAGTGCTGCTCCTTCGGTTCCTGCATGAACTAGGAAAGTATGTGGACAGAATAACATAATTCAGGCCGAGTGATAATAAATAAAGTAGATGTCCCATTAATCGACGATAGCGACTTGGGTCTGTCATAGCAGGTCCACTTGCTGTAGGTAACCCGTATCATTGCTCCATTGGAGAAGTTACTGGTTTAGCTGCTAGCATGCCGCATTCCGATAGGATGTCAAGTACATATTTTCTCTGACACAGAAATAACCCTGAAGTCGTCCGCGTTACTTCAATTCCCGAGAAATACTTTAAGTGGCCAAGGTCTTTGATATGAAAGCTCTCGTCAAGGTACCATTTGAACGCTACGCACTGTTTTGAATTATTGTCTGCCAAGATAACATCATGAACATATACTAACACGGCTAGAAAAGTATCGCCAAGAGAATACGTGAACAACGAGCAATTTACTAATGATTGATCAAAACCATACTCCCTCAATGCATTAGAGAATTTTGAAAACCAATTTCGAGATGCCTGCCGAAGGCCATATAAGGACTTTTGCAGTTGACATACACGATTTAAGCCAGTTGTCGTGAAACTTGGTGGAAGTTTCATATAAACTTCCTCATCTAAGTCACCATGTAGAAATGATTGTTTACGTCCATATGATGTAACTCCCAATTACGAGCCAATGCAACTGCGAGAAGACACTGCATAGTGACTAGTTTAGCCATTGGTGCAAAAGTTTCATGGAAGGCCACACCCTCTATATGGGTGAATCCCTTTGCAACAAGACGAGCTTTATATCGCTCAATACTACCGTCAGTTCGACGCTTGATTTTGTAAACCCACTTGCACCCTATGGGTTTCTTATCCTCCAGCAAAGTTGCTAAAGTCCACATCTTATTATCTTCTAGTGCTTTAATTTTCGCCGCCATCACTTCTCTCCACAAAGGATTTTTAATAGCCTCAGTGTAATTCCTAGGCTCAATATCAGAATCAAAAGTAGCTAAAAAAGCAATGTGAGGCTCTGTAAATTGTTCATAAGAAATAAACTTCTCGATTGGATAGATTGTACCTGAAGATATCGATGGAGTGGGCTGAAGAGTTTGGGTCTTCGTTTGGACCGTATGGCACACATAATCTCGCATATGAGTTGGCTTTCTTTTTTGTCGTACAGGGTGAATTGGGAGTGGAATTTGGTCATCGGGCTGCTCGCTGGGTTGCTCTTCAACTTGGACTGTATTATCACAATCTTGCATCACCGTCTATCCATTTTCTTCACTAGCTTGGCTTGGAACCCCCTCTTCCTCCCCCTGAGGTTGATTCCACCATTAATCAATAGGACCCAGCTCTTGAGCCGGTGTCAAAAGAGGAAGAGAGTCTTCATCCTCATGTGCAGGTTGCTGAGCAAATGGAAAATTCTCTTCATAGAAAATAATATCACGAGATACCAATAATTCTTCGGTTTCCAAATCAAAAACCTTCCAACCCTTCGTGCCGTATGGATATCCCAAAAATATATATTTTCTTGCCCTTTCTTCAAATTTATCTTTGCCTTTTGATGGTTTGTGAGCATAGCACAGTGCACCGAAAACTCGCAAATGATTATAATCTTGCGGTTTTCCAAACAAAAGCTCGAACGGCGTTTTTCCAAATAATGACGGAGTTGGAGTATAATTGACTAAATAAGCAGCCGTTAATACACATTCACCCCAAAAACGAATTG